AAAAAAAAATAGCATGAAACAAGAGAGGGAGGCGCAAACATTCAAACCGAGGTCCAAATTGGGAAAAAGTGACATACATTTTTTTCATTTATCTTTTTGATTTCTCGTTCATTACCCTCTTATGTATTTTTTCCACTATATTATGTAAAATCTGTGATAAATTTTTCTTTCTACGTGCCATTCGAAGGAACGTCCGCTTGGTAGAAAATATTAAAAAATGATGCCACAACTATATTTGGAATTTTATAAAATGAAAAATTCAGATGTATTACCTTGGTTTAAATAGCTTCTATTTTTTTTTCATTAATTGAATTTTGTTACTTTTATTATTATTATTAAGGGCGTAATTCTCCTGTTTTTTTCTCTTCCCACGGTTCGTTTTCTTAGCTTTCCACATTGTCGTGTGTATCATTTTATTTTCATCTTCGAGGAATTTCAGTGAGGAGTCGCTTTTTGAAGTTTCTTTAAGACTCTTTCTTTTCGTCCTTATCAAGAAAGTTTAGAACTTGCATATGATTCGCACGGCTCTGTGAGCGTACATTGGGGAGTAAACAAATGAAGGATATATAAAGGTAGAAAGATTTCAGGTGACAGATTGTTTCTCCTTTTTCTAAGAGTGATCCTCGTGGAAAGGATCTATTGAGAGACCATTGATTTTTCGGGAAAATGGGAAGAATGCTTTCTTGTCCTCTGTATTGGTATCTCTGGAGACAATACATTTGCTAGATTTTGAGTGCTGTCATATAGGGGAAAAATTATTATCATTGGTTTTGTTTTTCAAGATATAATCTTGTCTATGTTATTTGATTTGAATTCATTACAAACGTGTAGTTTTTTAAATTGCCTTTTTTTCTCAAATACTAGCTCTCTGTTAAGTTAATAACACTGGGCGCAAATATTTTCCCAAAGCATGTTTATGATCTGAGTCAATAAAGTGAGTTATGTAAGGGAGGCATGATGGAAACAAAGTTCTTAGTAGATCTGTCTTCTTTTTTGAATTCGCACGAACTTTATGCATACTGGAGGATGATTTTCCATTTTTTTTATGTCTAAGCGAAGCTTGAATTATTGAATCACTCTTTATATATGCTTTAAAGACTCTTTATGCTATTATTAAACCGATAGACATTGCGTCGACTCGGAAAGTTTATCTCTTGGGAGACAAATTTAACTAGTTATTATGAGGCAATAAGTCCCTCGAAAGCAAAAAATATTGCTAAAAATGTGGAAATAAATGGAGAATACAGCATATAGGTACATTTGAAAGCGACGAGTTAAGTGTTGAAGGGGCTAAAAAAGTAAGAAATCCGCAAACTCAAAAGTATTCTGCCATGTGTAAACGTAAATTCATTCATGAGAAGTATGCCGTGAATACACTGCTTCATGGTGGAACCCGAAAGAGTTTGTAATTCCTCCCTAAAAAAAGGGTGTGTTAGTCTGTCTCCGTCGTTCTTTTTGCTTCAGTCATTCACAGTGTTTCATTTGTCTTCGAATCGAAGTTTTTCTTGGCTGACTTTCTTTTCTGCAATCTAAATATGGAATAATGTACAGCCTCAAATTGCAGTTTGTCTTCTTCGGAATATTATTGTAGGTCATATCCAAGCTATCTTCTTCATTTCCCTTTTCCATTGCTTTTTATTTTCCACTTTTCATATATTATATACTGTATATGCTCTTTTTCTCTAAAAAATGAAATTGCTAAATTGTTATTTAGAGAGTTTATACTAGCATAATTTTCCAAATCTATTTTACATTCTAATAATTTATAATACTGCAAATCAGATTGCTTCAATAACAAAAGTGAAGAGGGACCATTGCAGTAAATGATCAATGCGACCTTTTGATTCTTATTCTATTTTACAAGAATTCCTCTCTTTATCCCATACTACCTTGGTGCTTTTTTTCTTCTGTACTTAGTCGACAAAAAAGGGACTTAAGGATAAAAACAACAACATTCACTACCACGATTGCAGCATAAACTGAAAAAAATAAATACAAATATAAGACCAATAGTAGGGAAATTATCAGGCATCATGAGTTTATCTTCCCCGTTAAACATGGATAGTTTTGAGAATGTTTCTGTTATCGAATCCAAAGGTGCACGCAACACAGCAGCTGAAGGAGTTCCAACAAAAGATGATGTTGATAATGTTTCAAATGACAGGAGTGAGTTGCCAGGAGTTGTTGGTGAAAAACAAGCTCATGCCATCAACGATGATGATATCGAGAGAGGAATGCAGTCTGCAGCGAGTCGGGTTTTGATCGACCCTACAAAAGACCTCTGGTACAACATCACAGCAAACGTGAAGGAGTCCAGCATTGAACAGATTGAAACTAACCTACTCATGGTGGGAAGCCCTGGGAGCGGCAAAACGACATTGTTGCGGCGTATCTATTCCACCTTTGGAAACACTGCTGCGTCTGCATTGGGTAATAGTGCGGAAGGTGCTAGCAAAGCGAGCAAGATCAAACCCACCACTGCACTGGACTACAGCTATGCGAGACGTAACGAACGAAACCTATCGCAGATAGCACACTTCTGGGAGTTGGCACAAGGGACGGAACTAGCACAGCTTTCAGAAATCGTTATCATGCCTGAAAATGTTCATACAATAGTTGTTGCTGTAGTTGTGGATGCCTCTGAGGAAGGATTGCCGCTGGTGTGGGAGAGCGCTACCTACTGGTTACAGCGCGTAGATCGTCGAGTAAATGAAATAGCGGATCGTATGAGGGCCAAGGGTTCTACCACCCCCGGCAAGATGTTGAATCGCGCTAAGAAAAGAATCGGGATGGAACATCCCGATTTAGGCCGACTGCGTCTGAGCGGGGTCCCAACTATCCTCGTGGTCAACAAGCTAGACTCTTTTAAGGGCGACACAGTCAAGATGAAGCTGCTTTCCCATAGCATGCGATTCCTTGCTCATCTTTACGGCGCCCATGTCGTCTTCACTGGAGAACACGAGACCCATAAGTGGAAGATGATTATGAGTCACTTACTCTTTCAGGCACCCTTTGACAATAAGCACATTCAGTTCGATCCCGAACGCGGCGGTATCTTGGTGACAGCTGATAAGGATACCTTCGCGGATATCGGCAAACCAGAAGAGCTGTATCAAGGCGGTTACAGCAATCTTGGAACGACGGGGGACCCTGAGCTAGATCGCTGGAAGGCTCTTTTCGATGTGGTGTTCCCGCCGGAGAGGCTTCCTGAGTCAAGGTCACTCAATGATCCCTTTTTAAGAAAGCTTTACGACACGGCAGAGGGCGGTTATGGGGAGCCCAACATTGATGCCTTGCGTAAACAGAAGGACGAAGAACTTGAACATTACAAAAAAGCCAGCAAGATGAAGCTGAAAGATAAGTCGAAGCAAGCTATCAATTTGTAGATGTTTCTTCCTTAATGTATATGCATTATTACACTTTTTTTCTTTCATATTATTTGATCAATTTATTTGCTCTTTATCGAGTAGTTGTGTTGTATTGCCGTGACAAAGGGCTTTTTAAAGATATCTCGCCGGAACTTGTGTGATGCTCAAGGGACGTGGGAATGAGTCAAGCAAGCACATACTTCACACAATTCACTATTTACAGATGTTCTGCGAGTAGGCGTTGGCATTTTTTGTATCGTAGCTGTTTAGTTGCCTCGATACTTTAGTAATGCGCACTCATGCAAGTATATACTTGACGGATTTGGGAAGTCATTAGGGTGCAACGAAATTCTGATATGCGTAATATAGTATATTATTTATTAATGTTTTTAGTGATCTCTTTTTATTCCTTTAATCTGTGTCATTATTTTCCCCTTTGCTTACCTAAAAGAAGCAAATTTAAACGACAAAAAACACCAAAGTAACCTCTGACTCGAAGGAAGTGATACACAAAGCGAGTTTTAGTAGCTGAAAAAGTGAACTGGGACAATCAAAGACATGCACATAATCCTGAGCCAAAGGGGTACAAGCTCAATCTGTTTCGACGGGAGAAAGATATTTCACATATTCCAAAAGCTTTCTGGAATACTAATACTTTTATGAGTATTCTTTATGTTCTATTTCCATGGTAATACATACTGATTCATCCTACGATAGTGCCTTCAGAGAGTCTTCGAATATTTTTTATACGATGAGCTCACTGCCATTCGAACCTCTTCGGGAAGCCTTGCAACGATCCCGACAGCATCTTCCTCTAGGACCCTCGTCTACTTTATGTTTTGCAGAGGGGCCAAATGGAAGCAGGGAGCTGATTCGCCCTCGAGCATGGGATCTTCTCAATGCTAACCTCAAAAGTATACCCTCTCCCACTTCAGCGCTCTGGTTGTCTGTGCTAGAGGGGGTATTTGGTCATCGCAGGCATCACGGTTTTCTGGATGGCCTCGGACGGTGCCTATTATTATTAACTGAGTTGTTCAATTCTCTTCTAGTACCCTTAAATGACTTGAAGATCAGAAATAATGTTCTCTACATGTCTTGTGATTGCCGACATAGTGTACTTGAGCAACAACGTGTGTTGCGGTTATTGATGGAACATCGTGGTGTACTTCTGTATGATAAGACTCCATCAGAAGAAAATGGGAAAATGGTGGGGGTCGATTGGTTAGATCGAATTACATATGATACAATCATTGAGCTCGCACGACGGGGTGATTTTTTCTTTTTAGGCCCTTGCACTGCTGACCAGAAGGATACTGCACATAGCACACTACAGGGTCTAAGACCTGTATCTTTGTTTACCCTGATAGCCGGCTCTGCATACCATCTCCTTGCGACGGAAGTGGAGGGTGATGTCAGGGATACACTGCATCATGTTCTCATGGAGTTTCTGTTTCAAGATGACGAAAGGGATGGACCTGTTCAGCGATGTGCTGAAACCAACCAGTTGTCTTCATCATTTACTGAAGGCGAGAAACAGCAGCAACTAGAGCGAGTTAAGCAGCGGCTAGAGGCCTTTCATTCTACCAGGTACGTTGAGCATTGTCTTGCGAACGCTTTGCCTTTCCGTACGCCCTTTTCAGCTTCTGTACGTGATGAGATGCCAACGTTTGCTGCTCCGGTGAGCTGTTCTCAGCTTCTGCCACGTTCCTTATTTCTTTTGCCCGTGGCAAGGGCAGTAGTACCGTCATGGAGCCGCCAATCCTTTAACATCGTCACTGGACGCTGCTTTTCATCATCTTTCCATTTGGGTGACTCGCCATGCCGTCAGGATGGTTCCCCTGTGAGGGTTCTGTTACTCCGGTTGGATCCTGCAGGGGAATGGCTTCCAGAGGCAGAGGACTTGTACAACACACAGACTTTCTTTTCGTATTATAGCAACGATACTAATGATTTGAGAGAGGAAGATAGCTTTTACCTGAGGTGGCGTGAAGCTAGGGGGATTGATCGACCGATAAGTGCATGGCGACAAAAAGGCGTGGATGGTGAGACAACTGATGAGCAGGAGTCGTTTTACAAGATGCAGGCTCGGCAAATCGGTACATCCGAATGCTTCAAACTTGACAATGTGGGATACCGAGTGCAGGAAAGCAGCCAGGTGCGTGCAGCCGTTACGGTTAACATCCAGAACGTTCGACCAAGCGAGGAGGAAATTTTTTTCGAGGGCTTAGTGGATCGTACATGCACCCAATTATTCCCTCCTTTCCGGGGGAAAGAAGTTGTTGAGGGTGACACGTTTCATCTTGAATTTCGCGCGGCAGTTCGTCTTTTTATTTGGTGTTTGTTGCATGGTGTGCGCATTGTTCTCACGCCAGAGCGTGTACCGCCGCTGTTCAAGAGCTTCGGGGAACGGTACGGCTGTGCCTTACAGCATCATCTGAGCCATTATGAAGGTATATGGCCAGAAGAAGCGGAGCGTTCCCTCGCTGAGGAAGTTGCAGAGGAATCAATAATTCGGATAGTTGACGAGTTGCGCTTAGAATGCTTTGAGCGTCTGCTTAGTGCTTTTCCCTGCTTCCATGAGCCTAACGATCATCCGGAGCGTTTTGTGACGCGATCGACCGCGATTCTGAGCCGTAACCGTCTGCGTTTGCCTCTCGTAGCGGGGGACGCACTGTTAAGCGCGTCTGAGTGCGCTCTGACCACTGTTGAAGCGGTTCTGCGGCGTACACAGATGCAGGAGCGCCAGATGACGGCCATGTTCAATTCCTTAGGTTATATACCCACTCCCAACCAATTGGTGTGCGTTCTGAGGCTAACGGAGCCGCCTGTATTTGGGAGGCAACAGTGGGTGCCATCTTCGCTTGCGGGTTCAATTCTCATCACGGCACCCACACGTGGGCTGGAGCAGCGTTTGATAAGGCTGCTTCAAAAATGTACCACCACTCTGCTCGACATCTTTCACGGACCTTCTCATCTTTCCCAGTGCTTGTCTCAAAACGCAGCGGGGGATTTGGTGAAGGAAACAGGTGTTGTAAGGGCGGGAGGAGCATTTTTCTTCAGTTTCCATCGCTGTTTAAGGCGACAAATTTGTGCCTTAAGCAGTGGCCATTGTGGCAGTTCTTTTTCTGATCTGCAGGTACTGATACAAACGCTGGAGCATCTGGCTTCAGCGTGCTTTGCGATACCGCAACAGTTAGCAAGACGCATTATGACGGACACAACACTGGATCATCCCACCTGTGGTATACACAACCCTCGGGGTCCCCGTGCACGTGAGTGCCTGTGGCGGCTTGCAACCCAACATGCGGCAGAACTGAAGATGCCTTTGGAAGATCATGAATTGCATGTTTTCTTAAAAAATTTTCACGAGAAAGCTGATATGCTCTTGCGTAGTGGGCAAACACGAAAGTTTGAGGATCAGTTCAAGGGAGGAGTCAGGGAGACTTTTTGCCTTGATAAGACTCATTTGAGCAATTCATCCGATCCTGTGTGCAACCTAAACAACTTGTATGAGCAGGCACTTCGTATTTTTGCAGGCGATCTTGCTTTCCTATCTGGGTTGGAGTCTATGGTTGGCGGTAAAAGCAGTGAGGATCAGCCCCAGCTGCCTCAATGGATGTTTGTCGAAGCAATAGAGCCAAATCGTGAGGCTGTGCGTCTGGCCTTGGTTGCGTGTTATTTGATAGCAATTGCATCATAGTAAGCTCAGGTCAAATGGGCTCTGGATTTAACATTTCTCTTCGATAAATTTCTATTCTGCCATTACGCGAGAGACTGTTGGCATCTTTTGAACGCTAAGGATGCGCTGACTCTGCTTCCCTTTTCCCCCTTGGATCCCAACCGCGCTTTTTTTTTCCAGGCCCCGGAGGTCTATCATTGGAGGAGGTGGCCATTTGTTACTCATATTTCGTTGTTTCCTGTTAAGAGTACATCTCATAAACTACTTTAGACTTCGAATATGCCTGAGATGCGAGGAGGGGTATCATATATTTTCTTCAATTGCCTTCCGCCTTTTTGATGTACAGAAGAGGAATATAACTTCTTGAGGTTTACCTCTCCCTTTCTTTTTATTTTCATTAGTATTATTACTAACTGATGGAAGTTATTCCACTCGTGCTGCTTTTCAAGTATTTCTAGAAAAAAGATAGGTGAGGGGTCGTATCAAAAGCAGTAAATCACTTATTTGAACGCAAAGAAGCGCTATACACTTGTCTATATAGACAAGTACCGCTTTTTCCTTTCCACCTGGGGTGGTCTAAGCGCATCTTTTTTTTATCCCTGTTGTTGTCATTTTTTCTTGATAACAAGAACGCGCCTCACGTAGCACCCACTTTCCATGGAGGCATATGAGACACTTGGCATACTGGGAGAAGGCACTTATGGTGTTGTTTTGAAGGCAGTCCATCGCACTACCGGGAAACTTGTTGCGATTAAAAAATTCAAGCAAACAGATGCGGATGATTATGTCCATAAGACGTCTTTGCGTGAGGTCCGTATACTAAAGCAGCTGCATCACCCTAACGTGATTTCCCTCTTTGATGTGTTTCGGCGTAACGATAAGCTTTATCTGGTCTTCGAGCTTGTAGAGAACACGATCTTGCAGCTTCTAGAGAGGACCCGTACTGGTATGGATCCACAGGATGTGCGACGCTACGCATATCAGATCTTGCGCGGTATTGATTACTGCCATGCACACAATGTCATCCATCGAGATGTTAAACCGGAAAATATATTAGTATCCCGCGATGGGTTTCTAAAAATATGCGACTTTGGCTTTGCAAGACACTTGACAGTGGGGGGCAAGTACACAGATTATGTTGCAACGCGGTGGTACCGAGCACCTGAGTTATTGGTTGGGGACGTCTACTACGACCGCAGCGTAGACGTGTGGGCGATTGGGTGCATCATTGCGGAGCTTACCAACAGCCTACCGCTCTTTCCTGGTGAGTCTGACCTAGATCAGCTCTACTTAATTCTAAAAACCTGTGGCCCACTTCCGGAGCGTATGGTCCGAACTTTCGAGAGAAATCCACTCTTTCGTGCCGTATCTTTTCCCCACACTGAAGTGCAACTTACGTTGCAGCAGCGCTTTCCAAATCAACCACCAGAATTGCTGGAGTTTCTGTCGGCATGCCTAAGTCTGGATCCAGAAGACCGGCCATCTTGTGCAGATCTGATGAACTTTTCATACTTTCAAAAGAATAACTTCCAGGCTGAATATGAGGCGGAGCTTCAGCGCACGGCTGCTTCTTTGTGCAGAAGGGCAAGTACTGAGTTCATCATGGCCCCCTTGTCATCCAAGGCACCGACAATACCGAACTCTACCAGGAATCCGCTAAACCCATTTGACGTCAACTACGATAAGTCGATGAACAATGGGCACGAGAGAAAGCCAAACACTCAAGAACAAAAAGTGAGCTCCAGAGAGCCAGCTGATTCATTTTTTTTGCCGCTACCATTGGCACACAAATACACAACAGAACAGTCTGAGGCAAGCGAGGGAGGCCGATTACCTAGTATTATAGACAATTTACCGTGCACGTCATATCACTCGTCCCAGCGAGAGGGCCAAGGTGTTGTAAAGGGTGATACTCTTGAAGCGGGTGGCGAGTTGGTTATTCATGACAAATCCAGGGAAAAGTCACCACCTCCGCTTCCCAACGATCCAAAGCCAGTACAAAGCAGTACTAACACTGACAACTCCCACCGTGGCAGCATAGCTGCACGGATTCCCTCTCTTGATGTTTTGTGGTCCAAGTATTTGTCCTCCAGCATGCAGATGAGCGGTGGCCCCGACTCTGCGTCTAAGATGCCTCCTATTTTTAGTAATGTTACTAACTTGAGTACTACGACAACCGGGGGCGTAGCCGGAAGTGTGCAGCCCAATATGGCACAGCGCCAATTTGTAACAGCTGTGGTGGGCGACGAGGACGGTCCACTGCAGCTGGCCCCATCTCCTCGTTCGAAACAACAGCGACTTGGGGAGACCAATTCCATTCGTACCTCCAGCCCCAAAGCTCCGCCGGCACACGACGCAGGGGGTAAGCACCAGATTGATCGCAAGAAAATCTCGACGAAACCATACCGTATGCCATTGTCTGAGGTGCAACTAGGAAGTTCAACCTGTAACTCAAATGTCAACGCTACCATTGTTTCGTTGCCGAATATGGGCTTTGCTAAAGGGGAAGGTCTGTCAGGGAGTCAAACGTTTTGTCACGCTCCGAAACCAAACCAGGCAAGCACGAAACATTTTAGTAACAATTCTGGAGACATTCTCAATACAAATCCGTCTCCTGCGTATTTAGCACCGTTGACTGGAAGGGACGACATCAACAATGTGGATCCACTTTCATCTAAGGAATTCGACCCTAAGGTCGCCAAGCGTGCCACTAATGCTTTGAAGGTCCTTTCCAGTATCGGTGATAATACTTTGTATACTCTAAATGGAACCACCATGGACAGTAAAGCATCTAGAGGCAATAAATCAACCTCCAAGCTTCACTTAGAGCAGCAACAACATATGCAGCGACTTCCGATGGGTGGGATCTATCTATGGCGAGAAGGTCTCAGCCAGGCTCACGATCCATCGACCACAATCAAGGGTATTACACCAGGAAAAACGGTTCCCCGTAAAGCAAAGTCTAAAAACACTCTGCAGACACCCCGAAATGAGGGTGTCCCTCACTTATGGCCGCAATCAGAGCCATTTTTACCATCTTCACCAAAGTTCAATTGTGAGTCAAAGATCCCAGAGAATATCATGAGCGAGTGTTCACCGTATCGTGGCACATCTATCTTGAATCTTCACAAAACTCTGTTGAATTCAACGAGAAATATAGGTAACTATGCGCCTACTTCTCACGACCAACATCCTAACTCTTCTCTGAACAATACTCTCACTGCGACAGTCACGGCATCTATGATGAACACTACAACTAAAGTCGACACAAAGCCTATCAGCACCCGCTACAAAGCTCCACATCAAGATTCACTGCGTCATCAGCGTTCAAAGGACACAGGAGACGTGTCGATTTATCGAAAAATGGCTGAGGTCGGACATAGTCACAAACTTAGTCCGGTTCGACAGCGGGGGGTAAACGCTACAGGGACGTTTCATCATTATAATAGCAAGGAATCTAGTCGTAGGGGTGTGAGTCGGCAAACGTTTCCGCACCTGGCATGTGAACCTTCATAAGAGGGGTAGACATGAACAGGAAGGGGAAAAAATACTCATCGATGAAGAAAAAAATAGTGAAAAAAGGAAAAGTGGATAACTTTAATCCTTAAAAGAGATAGATTCTATACAACATTTCGTTGAAAATCCAAACATATCACCAACAAAGGTATTTGGCATTACTAGCATCATCGCTAACTTACATCTGAAGCTTCTTTGCTTTTTTTTACATACTGAATTACATTAAAAAATTGTAGAGAATATTTAGTTCGTTTGTCCGCTTCATCTATTTCCCCATATAGAATGTTACAATGGGATGTACACGAAGCCAAATACTCCGAAATACTTCTTTGCCCTTTTAGGGTTTTAAAGAGTGTTCTTTTCTTCTTCATGCAGTATGACTCTATACATCAATAATAATAAACAGTGCTATATTGGTGCAATATTTTGTTCTTATTGTTCCCTTTGCAATGTTTAAAATTGCTCTCCAGTGTCTAACCATCTATTCTGATGCACACTTCGGGAATGTTTGGAGGGGGTATTCAATCTTTAGAATGCAGGAAAAATTCAAAATTGTTGCATTTTTGTTTTAAATGTGTAATGCTGTTGACATATAGAGTGCCTCAACAATATATATATATATATATATATATATATCAGAAACAAATTTATTGGAGGGGAGATGTGTTGATATATTGCGGAAGTTGTTGATATCATTCCTAGGCGCTTCTTTCAAAATTGGCCAGCTTTCGAATAAAAAAGTGAAGGCATTATGTAAAGTGTATTTTTTTTATTTTTTATATCATGAGCTTCGTTTTTGTATAATTGTAAATAACAAAATCATGAATTCGACTACCAAGGGCTTATTATTTTTATTTAGTTCGACAATTTGGAGCTTGGATCCTAGTTTTGCCATCACATTTTCTCCTTTTTAAAATCCTGTTTTTTTTTGTTTAACGTCAAGAAATACTTTGATAATTAAGAAGTAACATTAACACCAAATAAATAGCTACATCTAAAGCATATATCTCAAGCTCTTATCGCTATGCAATCTAAACAGAAAGCGGCATTAGGCATCAACGGCACGCGCATCTCTGGAATCTCCGTGCGAAAGGAAAACGTGACAGCGGCTTCAGCCGTGGCAAACATTGTTAAGTCTTCCTTGGGTCCTATAGGGCTTGATAAGATGCTGGTCGATGATGTTGGTGATGTGTGTGTGACCAACGATGGCGCGACGATTCTCAAGAGCCTAGAGGTCGAGCATCCCGCGGCGCGGCTGTTGGTGGATCTTGCTCAGCTCCAGGACCGCGAGATTGGGGATGGAACAACTTCCGTCGTCATCCTCGCGGCTGAGCTGCTGAAACGTGCTTACGAACTTGTCACCCATGGCATCCATGCCACGTCGATTATTGCGGGCTATAAGTTAGCCTTGCGCGAAGCACTTCGGTATTTGAATGATAACCTGAGCTGCCCTGTGGATAGTCTCGGTAAGGACGTGCTGCTTAATGTTGCGCGTACATCAATGTCCAGTAAGATCCTAAATAACGACGCTGATCTCTTCGCTAAAATCGTTGTAGATGCCATCTTGTCGGTGAAGACCGTCAACGACTTCGGCGATGTCGTGTACCCGCGCAAGGCTGTGTCAGTTCTTCTGCAGCACGGCCGAAGCCTGCACGAGTCTCGTCTCGTGCAGGGTGTTGCCATGAATCTCTCTCGTGCAGCCCAAGGCATGCCGTCTTCTGTTAAGAATGCTAAAATTGCTCTGGTTGACTTTGATCTTCGTGCAATTAAAATGAAGCTTGGTGTTAACATCACTATCACTGACCCATCCAAGGCAGAGGCGATTCGCCAGCGGGAGCTTGACATAACCAAGGAGCGTATCCAGAAGATGATTGCGGCCGGAGCTAACGTCATTATGACGTCCTGGGGGATTGAGGACAGCATGATGAAGTATATGGTTGACAAGGGTATCCTTGGTGTGCGTCGCGTGACGAAGGATAACTTGCGTCGCATTGCCAAAGCCACCGGCGCCACCATTGTGCACACGATGTCCGACCTGGAAGGCGAGGAGGTGTTCGAGGCCAAATGGCTGGGCTCCGCTGAGAAGGTGTATGAGGAGCACATCGGCGACGACGACTGCATAGTTGTCTCAGGTACACCGAATACGGTGTGCGCCACGATCATCTGCCGCGGCGCCAACTACTTTGTGTTAGAGGAGATGGAGCGCGCACTGAATGACGCCTTGTGGGCCGTCGCGCGTGCGTGTGATGCGAGTTCTGTGGTTGCCGGCGGTGGTTCCGTTGAGGCTGCACTCTCTATCTACTTGGATAACTTCGCCCGCACCCTGAGCTCCCGTGAGCAGCTCTCAGTTGCGGAATTCGCAGAGTCGCTGTTGGTTATCCCCAAGACCTTGGCCCTGAATGCTGCCCTGGATGCAACCGACCTGGTTGCTAAGCTGCGTGTTGAGCATAACATTGCACAGAGTAGCGGGCAAAAGAATGACAGCCGTTTCACTGGGCTTGATCTTCATAACGGTTCTCTGCGTGATAACATCAAGGCTGGCGTATTGGAGCCGACACCGAGCAAGGTTAAATCGCTGAAGTTTGCTACGGAGGCAGCTATCACGATTCTGCGCATAGACGATTGCGTTCGGCTCAATCCTGATGAAGAAGAGCAGCAGATGCAGAGGTAGAATGATGAAAAGGAAGTAAGTGGTGTCAGAAGAAAAGGAAGAGGGGGAAGAAGTCAGGCAAACCAATAAAATTCATTTTTGTCCGTCTTCCGGAATTCCTCAGCTGCGATAGAAAGAAAGGGGTGTGAGAATTTTTAAAAATAAAATCTAATAATCAGACGCCACTGCAATTGAATTTGATTAGTCAGGTTATATTTATTAATTTGTTTGTATGTGCCTCTAATAACGGCCCTTTTTTTCCTCGAAGCCTATCAACTTTTTTCTTTTTTTTTTATATAAAATGTTTAGAGATGTTGATCGTTATTACTGATATTTACTCTTACGATCAAATTTTGGAGGGTAACACATGGGGGCTGGGCGAGTGGGAGAGACCTGTTCGCCTATATCGAGAAAAAAATGAAGAAATGCGTTGGTTGTTTCGCTTGGGGGTGCTCATACTGATTGTTAATCATGGATTTTAAATATTGAGGGAAAAATATATGTCCATAAGCATATTTAAAAAGGGTGTAAAAAAAGAAACTGACAAAAAGTTTAATTGTTTTGTGATTTTATGCATCGCTTCGTCACTGCGTATATATATTCCTGTCGAGGTTCTATTGATTGTAAATACAAATGAAAGCGTTCCTTTTTATTAATCCGTTTCTACTTGTTTATACGTTACTAGCAAGTTTTGCTCATATATCGAGAAAATTTTACCAAGGGTGAGCGAAAAGGCAGGGATTGCTTCTACTTTTTTTTTTGATTTTCTTTAGGTAGAATATTATCGTCGTTAGCAATTTTTAGTAATTCATCAGGCATAGATTTTTTTCCAAAACCAAATAAAAACGATAAATAAAGGGTTTAGTTACGCTGGAAAATCTTAAAAGCTTATATAGGTTCAAATAAAGGAATTTTAAATAGTTGGTATTTCCTTTATTCTAGCGACTAGTGCTTTTCTTTTTGCCGAATCAAAAGTCGCCTTTTATCTGGAATTACAGTTTAGATATATCTATTTTTTTAAATATTTTTCAAGGTTTTGTTTGGCCTCTTTCTGGTGTGGTCGTTCTTTTTTTCTTTTGTGTGCTAATCAGCTTATTTAAGCTTCGAAATTAATAGGCGGGCGAATATTAGGTACAACACGAAAAAAGGCTTCTCTTTTGCTTTATTTTTTTTATTAGCTTAGTGCAATCCTTATACACGTATCGCATTATTTCATTTAGAGTGAAAACGATTATACATATATATATACGATCCAACAGTCATTGAACTTATTATTGTTGTTTCCAATTTTGCATTTCTTTTCACTCATAATAATCAGATAAAGAAATAAAAAAATAAGCAAAATAAATAAACAAATAACCAAATAACTGAATAACTAAATAAAGAAACAAATAAATAAGTATATATATATATATATATATTACTTTTTTTTTACATATCATATAACACATTTAATTTTTTTTTTAAATTATACCTGCAGTATCGTTTAACTTCTTCTACTTGTGTTACAGTTCGTACCGTGTTATATTCTCTTATCAACTGCCAGACACATTCTTCTCTTTTCAAGGATAACGGCATAAAAAACGAGGGAAAATATAAATGCCCGAAAGCATGAAGACTGAAGCTCTAATGAATCTCCGCTCTGACTTTGCCAATGATAAAGCTTCCCCACTTCTAGTGGGTGGCAAGCCACGTTCCGAATCAGGGATGTGCTCGCCCATTACTAGGAACAGTGATAGAGACCTGAAGCATAATTTTATACGTGATGAGTTGACAGGTTCTAAAATGGATGGATTCGTCAAGATGAAGGCACCACCATCGCGAGAGCTCGACACATCTGCCTTGGCAACAAGGAAAGGCAAGGCCAAGACCACGAATAATTGTGAGCAGCTCGATAGAGGTGAAGGCGGTAATAATAGTGATAGTGCGAATGGAACACAAGATTTGGTGAGTCTTCAAGTTTTCTTGGAGAGGTACCTTAATTCTAGCTACCTTGTTGAGTACACCGATGCTCCCCTAGCAAAGGCGTTACTCAGCCGAATGGACAGTTACCTCTGCGTCCCTGTGTTGTCGCTGCTGCAGCTTTCCGAGTTCGCCACATTTCTTGAACATGTAAGCCCCTCAAACCGCCTGGAAAAGCTTTTGAGTGCCATCCGTTCCTCTTCGTTGCTGACCCTACGAGATGACTTAGTGGCACCACCTGCTACAGAGGTCGGGGCTGCGAGCTTCTCTATGCGTGTGGGGCCTACAACACATGCCAGCCCAACTTCACTCTGTACCCTCCTTTTTCAGTGCGATCCGAACGACACAGAGGCTGTGGCGGTACTACGGGGTCTGAGTCGAGAGCAGGTTAAGGCTGCACTTCCAGGGTTATCTGTGCTTATAGTAGAACCATACAAGCCCTGTGTTCAGGAAACTCATCACAGGGCGGGACAGCCTCTGGTTGCCTATGCTACGTTAGCCAACTGCGCAGATGCCCTCCGTGCACTTGTGGTATTACAAGATACGCCCCTTCACGCGGGTTTGGCTGTGAGGCTACGGTTTGAGAAGCCATCTAAACAGGACAAGGAGATGTCCACTAGCGCTCAGAGCCAAATAGGAGTTCCAAAGCCACCACTCCCTGTTGCTGAGCTCGAGATGCCTGATTTACAGTATCCTCCTTTTGTGAACAGACGCGTTAATTTGCGGCTCGGAATCCAGGGTATTGATGGAAGTCGTCAGATCGATCCCAAAAGGCCGACAGCTGTGAATGGTAGGCATCTTTTTCCTCTAACCCCACCTTCCTCCGTTGACGCTGACTTAGAGGATTTTATAGACCCCAAGTGCAAACAAAACTTGTTCCAGAGATGCAATCAGGGCCATGCAGGCGGCTTTGGCGCCAATGGCAACGTCGCTAGGGGTGGCCCCCTTGTCACTAAGGATAACTCTGCAGGTGACGGTGGTGATTTGTCTAGCAGCATTTCTCACCATACCCAAAATACCACTTCTCTCGGAACCACTGAGATTTTAGCTAGTGGTGAGCTCGTGGACCCTAGCACTGAATTTGGTGGGCCCAATGTGTATCCAAACAAAGGAGGCATTTCGGAGTCATCCCACAAATGCACTAATCTTAACCGGTGTGGAAGCGTTGGTGGCTTGTCTAATCATCGAGCCCACAGCGGTCTGGACCCTCTGGCTGCGCCCTGGATGGGTTGGACCAAGACACATCCCGTCCATCTGACAGGGGCCCCCGTTGCCTCTAATTCTACACCACCTGGCGCCATCAAGTTCTGCCGCTGCGACCCCTACACTGGCAATGTCATTATATCCACTGGATATCCTAGAATTAGGGAGCCTAGAACACCTCATGGCGTTGTGAATTGCACAAGGGATATGGCACTTCCATCGTTGATCAGGGGCGGCGCATGCAAGAGTCATTTCAAAGATCCTCTCAAGATAGTTTCTCTAAATCGTCGTATGAAGAATGAAGTGGTCAGTCTGAATCCATTCTCTGGTGATACATCATCATCCTCGGTGTTCAATAGTCAGTATATTGTGAATACGTCGACAAATAATACTGATGACAATATTTCTAATTTCAATAGTAGGGATGGGTCTTGATTTGAATTCCCGAAGTTGATATTATTGAAGTCTGAGGGCGAAGTAATGCAGTATTGATCGGACCTGATATTTGTCATGGGTTGCGTTTGAGATGATGGAATGGCTTCTCTAAGATGTACTACTCTTTGGGCTGCTTATGTAAGCTTTGCAATGATACTTTGATGCATTCGTTTGATTCTGGTTCTGAATAAAAAACTATCCCGAGCTACTCATTACCGTATACAGTTCTAAAGAGTTTTTTCTTTTTTCTATATACACAGTTTAACACAAGCGCAACAAAATACAGTGCCATCATTTTTCGTTATTCTCTAGCACTGCATAGACTTTGCCATCCATAATTTATTTTTGAACTAAATACAAAAGGTTTACAAAATGGGGATGGTCATTTGTTTTTCTGTATGTTTGCATTAGTAGCGTATGCAGGGGAAGGCATAACAGGAGGACGACACAGCCATTGACAGGTTGTTAGTGAAGTTTTTTTGGGCCATTGCTTTTTTTCAAATTCTCCACGCACTAAAATCAATTTTACTCTTCCAGATCCTTTCTAGGGCTAAATAATCGCAGGGGAAAAGTGAAAACTAGTCAGAGCTACTTTAATTTAGACATAGCATTTTTTTTCTAAAAACGTAAGCTCTCACTGTTTATTTATGATTTAATGTTTTCTGTTTTCATCATTTAGGAATTATTCCTTGAGTTTGAGTTATAAGCTTTTGCGATGGTGTGAGGGGTCCTAAAGGTTGGAAATAAAATGGACACCTTCACATCAAATGAAAAACCAATTTTTATATCGTTTTATTTCCTCCCCCTTTGTTATGTTTATTACTCTTTGACAAGAGATAAAGCAAAATCTGAAGGGAATCACAGTCGATAAGATTATCTTGTTTATTTTTGCGCTTCTTTTCTACTGTATTTTACTTTACGTCTTAGTAAATGTGATGTATTTTTTATTATTGCCTTATCGGAGGATATTTGAACATATCTATGAGGGATTCTATTACCGAGATGTCTGTGTCTCCATTAGATTCTGGTTACTGTGCAGAACCAATGTTTTCTGAAATTGACACTTCGGGGGTTTGTAAGTCCCCAAACGCCGTATTTAGCACATGAGCCGAGAAACTTTCAAATCATTGAATATTTATTTAGCTTTGTAGATATATCTAGGTCCCAATGCGGTTACAAGAATAGGATTCTGAAAATGTTTTGAGTAGTTGAAATTCACAAAATTTGTATGAACGCGATATTCATAGTAGTAGTGGTAGTCCTACAAAATGGGGAAAATATAGTAAAAATGATTTATTTATTTAGTTAAAGTGTTTAGAAATGATTGACGAAATGCAATACGTATCCAAGAGGAGGCAAATTCTCATAGTGTGCAAATTTTAATACTATCTCACAACAAATTATTTTTATTTATGAACCATCACATTCATTTACATTAGGCTAAGCATTTTTCTTTCTTTTGCATTATTATCGCTTTTGAATAACTCAACTTTAAATCTTACAGATTAATGTTTTGTTTGCTTCGTTTTACTGCGTATTCAGTTGGAATTAATTTTTTTATTCAATTTTTGAATGTGTTAATATAGTCTGATGTATTTGTGTCGATGTCGTTACTCCTTCTTTTAAAGGATGATAGGTTTCAAAACATCAAAGATAAAAGAATAATCCATGAATTTTTTTTACGCTTGGAGAGATTCAAATGATGCATTTAAGGACGAGTAGAATGAGAGGATCAATCAATGGATGAATAAAATGTTCCGATGCCTAGTTCATCATTATCAACTTTAGGAAGGATTATTATTTATCTTTTACGTTATACTGTGTTTTTTTTACTACGAATAGGTGTTTTTTTTCTGGTGCAACCTCTACTGAATCCTCTTCCTCACAAAAATATATATATTCATCTGTACTCTACTGCAAGTTCACGCAGTGGTGCCACGCAAAGTAAGGGTTATAATTCTACATACTACCACTCCACGCGGTCTTGTCTAGACCACTGTACTCGTTGAATTTCCATTCTGATGCTGCTATGTGGAGAATTAAACATAAAATGCATTTTCATTTAACCTGTTGTCTTTTTATCATAGCATCTGTACAAATCCGTTATCGTGCAAGCTATTTGAAAGAGAGCAGCAAAGAATTATTCACGATTGAAAAGCATAAGACCATAAGCTTAGCTCACATGAACCGAAAGTTCTATGTGTGGGTGACCATATTGCTATTTTCCTATGCACTTTCGTTGTCAAGTGCCCATGCTCGCTTTTCATATTCACGTTCGTCCACTGGGACCCAGAATAATGCCCAGAATGTGGATTACTACAAAGTGCTTTCGCTTCAAGATAAGCGTGAGGAGGCCACGGAGAGCGATATCAAACAAAGCTATCGGCGCCTCTCCAGGCAATACCATCCAGACGTCGCCAAATCGGAAGAAGACAAAGTTAAGTATGCTCAAATCAATCGAGCTTATGAAGTACTCTCTAACAAGCGAATGCGTAAAATGTACGACATGCGTGGGGAGGCTGGACTTGAGCAGCTCAAGCAGGCAGCAGCAGCTGGTGATCGCGGGGCTTCAATGAACCCCTTTGCCCAGCTCTTTGGTTTCAGTTCCGGCAATTCCCTCTACGGTCAGAAGCAGGAAAAATTTATTGAAGTGGACTTGTCAACAATATTTAGAGGCGGGACTGTTTTCGTTCGTCACAACAAGCAGATCGTCTGCAAGCACTGCAAGGGTCGAGGCGACGATCCAACATCGCCCATTGTGCTGTGCTCGCAGTGTCAAGGGCGTGGTGTCGTCGAGCATCGCCTAATCCTTGCTCCGGGGATGTACCAGGAGATCCGGCAGATGTGCTCCCACTGTAATGGAAACGGCAAGAAAGCCCAGCGGAGCTGCCCAGCTTGCCGTGGCCGTAAGGTGGCCAAAGGAGACATTGACCTGAAGGTGGATATCGAGGCCGGCACACCAGAAAACCACCCCATCGTCTTTGAGATGGAGGCAGATGAGTCACCTGACCTTATCCCGGGTGATCTAGTCGTGCGCGTTCGTTCTCGGCCACACCCGCAGTTCACACGAATGCGTAACGGCCTTGATCTGGAGATGTCCCTTTCCATCACTCTGAAAGAGGCCCTCTTAGGGGTTTCAAGAGAGTTTAAAAATATAGACGGTAAAGAGGTGATTAAGTTAAATAGGGTAAACACTACTCCATATGGTACTGTGATTAAGATTGCTGGAAAGGGAATGCCCAAACTACACCTGCCGTCGGAGAGAGGTGACCTATATGTGAGGATAAAATTTGAGATGCCGGCTTCTCTGTCTACAAAGCAGAGGGAGGCACTTGAAAAATGTCTTTGAATATCCATAATTTTGGCTATTGTTATTTTACTGAGGAATCAAAGCAAGTCACAGAGGGGAGGAGTAGAAGGGCTAAGAAATCCAAAAAGATGTTGAATATTCATCTTCTTAGCAGATGGAAAGAGAGCGATGATAATGTTAGGGTCTTTAAGGAACATCTGATGCAAAAGAGGCTCATCGAAAATTTATAGGAATATCAACTTCGATTTATTTTTTTAGCGTTTTGTATGAAAATCTACTTTTGTAGTTTTGAATGAATTGCTTATTTTTCTCAAACTAGCAATGATTTACCTCTTGTCAAAGTTTTCCGTTTATGTTCACTAAACTTTTTGGGAACGAGCAATCCCAAACACATATGGAGAGAGAAAATAAAAAAAGGATAGAAGCACGTTCAATTTATGGTAATTTTTTTCAGTCAACATTGCGCTGGGATGCGTTTTTCATGATCTATTAATTTTTTCATACTTTAATGCAGATGAGTTTGGAGCATGCGCTCTTGATGCCTTTCTAATTTTTTATTTTCCTCCGATATAAATATCCAATCGAAGTATTCTAAGTAAGAAAATTGCGATTTCTAATACATAAAAATAAGAAAAATGATTCGTCGTACTGCTCTTCAGCTTGTAGCCTATGATCTTGCTGTGATCGGAGGTGGACCTGGGGGCTATGTGGCCTCAATTAAAGCTGCACAGTTGGGACTTAAGACCGTTTGTATCGAGAAGCGCGGGGCACTTGGCGGCACTTGTCTTAATATCGGATGTATCCCTTCAAAGGCGCTTCTCCATGCGACTCATCTATACCATGATGCGCACGCAAACTTCGCGAAGTTCGGTCTCCGGGGTGGTGAGAATATAACAATGGACGTCACAGCCATGCAGAAGCAGAAGGATAAGGCGGTCAAGGGGCTCACAGGGGGTGTTGAGTACCTTTTCAAGAAGTATAAAGTAAGCTATGCAAAGGGTGAGGCAAGCTTTGTAAACCCCAACGAGCTGAAGGTGAAAGGTCTTGATGGTAAGGACGAAACAATCACAACCTCTAAAACCATCATCGCTACCGGAAGTGAACCGATGGAGCTACCATTTCTCCCTTTTGATGAGAAGGTGGTGCTGTCCTCAACGGGCGCCCTTGACCTGCCCTCTGTGCCGAAAAAAATGATCGTCGTTGGCGGTGGTGTGATCGGCCTCGAGCTCGGCAGCGTGTGGGCCCGTCTTGGGTCGGAGGTGACCGTCGTGGAGCTCGGGTCCCGCTGCGCAGTAACAGTGGATCCGGACGTGTCGAAGGTTCTCACCGACTACCTCGCGAAGCATGAGAAGATGAAGTTCCTGAACAACACCAAGGTAGTGAGCGGTAAGAACAACGGCACAAGCGTCAGCGTTGAGGTCGAGGGGAAGGATGGTAAGCGTCAGACCCTGAATGCGGATGTTTTGCTTTGTTCTATCGGTCGTCGCCCGTATACGAAGGGCCTTAACACTGAGGCCATTAACCTAAAGCTAGAGCGCGGCTTTGTGGATATCAACGATCACTTTGAGACAAATGTGCCCAGTGTGTACGCCATCGGCGACGTGGTGGTGAAGGGTCCAATGTTAGCCCACAAGGCCGAGGACGAGGGGGTCGCTCTGGCTGAGCAGCTTGCTGGCAAGCCCAGCCACGTGAACTACGATGCCATTCCAAGTGTTATTTATACCATGCCCGAGGTCGCGCAGGTCGGGAAGACCGAGGAGGAGGTTAAGAAGGCGAATATCGAGTACAAGGTCGGTAAGTTCCCCTTCGCGGCCAACTCGCGCGCGAAAGCTATTACCATGGAGGATGGCTTTGTGAAGGTGATAACAGACAAGAAAACGGATCGGATATTGGGAGTCCAGATTGTGTGCAGTATTGCGGGTGAGCTCATCGCGGAGACCGTACTCGCTATGGAATACGGCGCCAGTTCGGAGGATGTTGGTCGAACATGTCATGCCCACCCCACGATGTCCGAGGCTGTAAAGGAGGCGTGCATGGCCTGCTATGCACAAACTATCAACTTCTAGAGTATTAAACATAAGTAAGAATGTTGTTGGCTTCGAATGAAAAGGAGTTAAAGCAAAATGGATAAAAAAATAATTCAATCAAACAGCAAAAAGGTGATTTCAAATGATACATGATATAGATATATACATATGCAGGTATATATAATATCAAAATGACTAAAAGTTCTTACATTTATTTTATCCCAGTGATTGTTCAATTAATTATCTTTTTAAAATTTCAGTACTGCCATGTATTTCGGATGTAGTTGTGCGTGTGTGTGTAATTTAAGTAAATAACACACTTTGATTGAGTGTTATCGGATAGTGCGTTTTCATGCATAATAGACAAGATTTTGATATTATTAAGCATAGTGTGGGTATTTTAATGGATTTATGAGAATACAGCAGAATAAGGGTGTAGTATATATATATATATGCAACAAACTTAATAAATATCGGAGACAGTTATCTGATTCATAAGTAAAAATCATGAAAACAATTATGTGAGTTGAGCGTTTCGAGAATCACTTCAAAGTTTTTTCTCCTGCAGATAAACAGCTATTTCACTTCTTTTATGTATTCTTTTTTTAAAAAAATTAGAAGTAACGAAGCTTGCTTTACCAAGTATGGCGAAGGCGTGAGCGTTTTCTGCATCTTTATTTAAGGGTCTTGTCATCTGCAATAAGCACAAGGGTAACTCTTTCCATCCCTTGTGGCTATGTAATATAGTATGGTCAACGAATGGATAGCCAGTATCTCGATTGATGCAGAGGCAATGGGGCCCAAAGGGTTCAATATTATGCAGCTCGCTATACGATTCTATGACGTTGCCCAAAACCTCTCTGCTCATCGATCTGGTGCTAGGCAAGAGGTCTCTTTGTGGAAACTCTCTTAGAATATGTTTATTTAAGCCTTGTGCAGCGTAGGGTCTAATAGGTAAGCAATGGTATCGAATAATTCCTTTTTTGTTCCACAACAGACACTTTCCTGTTCAGTATGCATCTACATACTATATTGACAATTGCTCCATACATCATAGAGCCCTCAGTCAGCATCTTTAATCCATAAAATTGCACATGTGGTAGTTTTCCTTCTAAAATCGTACACAAGGCGAATGAAATGGATCACACTTGTTTTCAACATGGACGCGACAGGTTGAGGGTAGGATAATGCCAAAGTATTTAAGATCTTCTGAATTAGGTTAATGCTTTCCGTTTCTTTTGTTTTTTTCGCAATGAGGGGTGATGACGAGTTGTTTTTTTAACGCATTTCTTTACCCTTCGTTATATGTTAGCGTTTTGTAGCGTGATATTTTCGGAACGAATTTTCTGATAATTCTAAAACCTCATTTTTTTCTGCCCATTTCCTTAACATTAATGTGCATATTTTGAACGTGAAATATCACTTAATAGTTTTTCCCTTTGGCTTGCTACACTTACATTTTTAATTGCTTCTTGTGCTGGAAAAGATCCCCCCCTTCTCCCCCAATGGGATCTCAAGATACTACTTCATGGAAAATATTCTCGTCATCTGTGTGTTCTGTTGATGTAAGGTAAAAAACATCGACAGGCTATACCGCATCGTCTTCTCTCAATATGTGTCTATGTCACCATACGTAGGTGTTGAGACTTTTAATGCTTGATTTTTAATTTTCACCTTACTATTCAAAAAGGGCTAATTGGACATTACGCAGACACCCCTTATAGCCACGATTGCTGCTATTATTAGTTCCAGGGGGAGGGCTCCAACAGTAGTAACCGAGAAGGACAGACAGCATTGGTAGAGGACCTGCTAAATCTTACGAAATCATATGAAAGTTCTCGATTCTCACACTGTACTTGGTTTACTTCCAAATGATATGCGGGACCTATCTAAGCAATGCGAAGATCATATGATGAATGCTCAGCTCTTTTATACGAGCACGGACCAGCTCTCCTGCAGTATTTTGACGTCATCCAATCGCTTTGTATCGTATGGTCGATGGCTCAGTGCACTGTCTGTGACTTCGGCAGCCGTGTGTGGTCTCACTTACTACTATCAATACGCTCACCTGTACCGTGTCTGGCGGATTCGGAATCCCAGGGCAGTGTTTCGATACCATGTTGCGAGCTGGATAAGCGGTGGTGTCTTTGTATCGACGATTTTGTTTATGGCCAGCCCACTTGGGCCGATGCAGTCGCGTTGGATGCAACTAGAGCAATCGAAGACGTTAGATGCACTTGCAGTGAAGGCTCTCGAGTTTCAGCAAGCTTTCGCTACACTTCGGGCTTGGTACCTCTACCGCGCGTCTTGTGCGCACGAATTGTTGCCTTTCGAAGAGGCTAACAAGGTAACATCAGCGCAACTAAAGGGATCCTTATCAAACAATGACTTCGTGTGGATGCGCGTTGTAATTCCAGAGCTAACAAGCACTTTAACCCGACGCGAAGGGCAAGCTAAGAAATCGTGCGAAAGGGCTAATGCTGGAATAATGAGACGCGCCCCCACCAATGCAGGTGATGATAGCGAATGCACAGAGAGCGGTCGTACTGGGACATTTGATGTGGGATGTAATAGTCAAGTATCATTGCTGTCGACGGAAGGGCTTCCTCAAGAACTACCTCTTCTTCCTAGTTTGCGGCAAAATGTGGTGAAAGAACCAGATACGAGTAGCATGACTTCCTTCTCTCACCCTTTCGTAATCAATGATAATGAAAATAGGGATGGAATATCCGGTCCATCTCATTGTCTAGAGAACACTTCAAAAGCGGGAGGCAATATCGGCGCCGCATCAACATATTGCGTGAAAAATCATGACGCAAGGCGTCATTTTGATGCAAAAAGAGTTTACGACGGGACTGAGTCTGATGAAGAACTTATGAAAGCGTTTCTAGTATGCTGCCAAGCATGGGAAGACTTGCTGAATGCTCGCAGATATCTTTATCCAGAGAGTGTATAGCGGAAAAGGCAAAAAAAAAGAAACTCTTTGGATTTCTTTTTTTTCCAGCTTACGGTGCTTTCATAAAGTTCTGTTTCAGCGGTATACCTGTTAGATTATCGTCCATCCGTCCTTTCCTCTGCTTCAAAAGTGATCCTGAGTATGCATTGTATGGTTTCCTTTATTTAGTTCTACTCATCACTTCTAAGTATTCACAGCCTGCGCTATCATTTTACGTTGTAACCTTGGAATGAAATAGGGGAAAAATTGCTGTGTGCATGAGTGTGGGACCGCAGCCTGATGGTTATTCTATGAGCTGCCTCCGAGACGGGCGACACCTAGTTCTGTTTCATCAGAGCCCTTTTCTGAATGTTTCTCTTTCAAGTGCATTAGTTCTTGTCTGGTCATAAATAATTTCATTTTACCGCCTTTACTTCACAGCTGGCATCTTGGATTTTCACGTTGATCTCTCAGACGATGACCTGAAACAAATATTAGTGGTACTTCGCTTATGTTGTGGTTTAGTGTCGGGACTGAATGCGGTTTAGGTATCTTCCAAGCATATATTTCCATATTTTAAGTTCCATTTATCAATAATTGTTTGTATCTGAGTATCTGAGTATCTGTGGGTGTGAGGTGCTTCAATCTCCCCCACATCCAACTTGCATGAATGGGATGCTTTTTATGTGGATAGTCTGAGGTTCCGTAGGATTGATTCATCTCGTTGCTTTACGCATGCACTTTTTCTAATTGTTCGCCAGCGATCCGATGCCAGCTATATATGCATTCTTTCTTCTCCGCTCCAATACAACTTGTACTGCTATGTCGTATAACCATGAGCTATAGACATATCGAAGAGGCCAAATTACTTGTACCACACCGTCTTTCGTTCCCACCCTTCTGGCATGCGGGCTTGATTCAGTTTCTGTGCTCTGCGCTTAGATAGTGCGGCAGTGATATTAAAAAGCGTGACATCTCCTTTTCCAAACGACTACCGTGAAGGGGCAGAGCGCCCACTGCAGATACAGCGGACATGACGTCCTAGTGGAAGTGATGGGGGTTTCCTGTTACTGTGGCTGGGAACGGCGAGAAGTATGGACTTCGGAACGGGGAGAGCTGGGGCCCTGGCTTCTGATTCCGACTTCTTTTTCTTGGGACTCGTCACTGCGTCCCGTGAGACTGCGGCGGTATGCATGTCAATATAAATTAGCTTCCGAGCGAGCGGCGGGAATACGTTTAGGTCCTTTCAGGGTAGCACGGGGTGCAAATCCGTGGATATGCGTGTGTATGTGTAAAGGTTGCTGTCTCCCATGGTGCACACAAGCGCATAATTAAGAAAGGAGATGTCTTTGTTTCTTTTTATAATGGAACTCTTTAATACAAAACAACTTCATGATATGTTGGTGTGAAAGCCATCCTTCTGATTTTGGTGCAAATGTGCTTAACCTATTCATGAAACCTTTTTGCTCCAACCATCTTTGAGTGTTTTTCTGACCTCTAAAAGACACCCAACGCACTATCTGTCAAGCGCAAACACGATACGAAGTGAACATTGTTGAGTCTCACCGCCGCTCTATTTTCCATTAGCCTGCTTACCTAATCTGATGCCCTTTCTGAAAGACCAGCCGCTTCACCAGGCATCAGTTTTAGTAATTCGCTTTGCCTGCCTTCTCCTTCTCGTTGCCTGCGGGGCATCTACAGCTGTCGGTACGGAATACAATGGTAATGTGCATCTATGGATCAGTGGCACCGGAGCCCTGTGGGAGATCATTGATAAGAATAAAGTGAAACTGGCCTTGGCGAACGATGTCTACGAAGCTGTACATAAATATCCTTTACGAGTCCTTGTGGCACCCCACACGCCCTCTGAAATTGAATTACCTGGATCCTATACACCCAACTCTATGAGCATTGGACTTGACTTGGATATAGATATCACTGGTTTGGACATTAAAGCAGCAGACCTCCAAGATAGAATGATCAAGTCTGATCTTGTCAAACTGAATAACCTGGTACAGAATACCTTCGGGCAGCGTGTCAAGGCGTTTTCCACCTTGCCTA